ATATTAATACTGTCCCACTTCCTGCTTGATCCATCATCAATGCATGCACAGGAAAGAATAAAGATAATCCAGCTAAAGATGAAAGACCTGATCTGACTTGAGAGAGAGATTACTCTTTGATCAAAATCCTCAACACTCTTTGGAGGGATATAACAGAATTCAGAGTCGCTACAGCATAACAGTCGCAATGTCATGATAAATTCATGACATTACTTAGAATATAAAGGGTCAGGGAAAATATGAGTTAGTCTCAAGGAAAAAAAAAAGCAAAGAAAAAGAACTCTTTTCCTTTCTGGGTCGCCCTTCCAACATGTGACCCAGATGTTTGAATTAGCAGACAAGGATTTCAAAGCAACTATTGTAACCATGTTAAACAAACCATTACAATTAACCTAGAAGACACACTCACAAAGAATGTAAAAGGTTGTAAATGTCAATTGGAAATGAGAAACTTTGTGAGGGACCAAAGAGAAAATCTAGAAATGAAAAGTAGAATATCTGAAATTAGCAAGGCAGCCTTGCTGGTACAACTGTCTTCCCCAGAGAATTCTTTCTCTGATTCTATATGTAGCAGCTTTTCTTCTGTTTAGTGTGACTGATCACCAACTGCAGATATCCACCCTCTCATTCAGTAAGTCCTATCTTGAGTGCCCCAGTGTCTGACGCTGGCATTTATGACAATATCTCCACGATGCGATTCCTACTTCACTCTCATGCCACTACTCTGACTGATATTTCTGACTGATTTAACCCTGATTTGCTTCAGTGAGGCCTTCAAAATATGTCCCTGACTATGTGGCCTTCCTTCTTTCAAAGGACAAAACTGATTCCCTTCAGTGTGGACCAGACCTAGCAACTCATTTATAATGAAGAGAATATGACAGAGCAGTGAAGAATAGATTCTGACAGTAGGTCATCAAAGATATTCTCAAACAAGCTGTCCATGTCATACGGACCTCCAAGCATCCCTACACAGAGGTATATTATGGACAGCATCCCATTCCTCCTACCAATAGCCAGCAAGAGGTCCCCGGCCAATAGTCCTGGGTTATGGATAAAATTGTGTCTCCCCTTCCCCCCCAAAAAAAGACTCCCCCATAGTGTCTTTGGGTCCTAAGTCTTATTGCCTCAAAATCTGATTTAATTTGAAGATAGAGTTTTACAGAGATAATCAAGTAAAATTAAGTCATTAAGGGGAGCCCTAGTTCAATATGACTAACGTCCATACAAGGGGGACAAATTTAAACACAGACACACGTGGGAAAAAACAGCAAGTGAAGACGAAAGTGAAAATCAGAGCAACTATAAACCTACAAATGCCAAAGATTGAAAGCAAGCATGAAAGAGATACTTCCACACAGTTCTCAGGACAAACCAACCCTGAGGACACTTTATCTTATACCTCTGGCTTCCAGAATATGAAACAATTACTACCTATTGTTCTAAGCCTCCCAGTTTGAGTTCTTTGTTTTGGCAGCTGTATGAAGCTAACATATGAGGTATGTGGGCACTTTGGAAGGAGTCCTCTCAATCCCATCAAATTTTCAGATGATTACAACTCCAACCAATATTTTGCCTTTCACTTCTTTAGATGTCCTATACCAGAGCTGTCAGCTAAGCGATTCTTGAACTCCTGCCCCATGAAAATGATGATATAAATATTTGATGTTTTCACTATTTTTATGAGCTAAATTGTGTCCCACCATCTCTGAAATAAAATTCACCTATGGAAGCCTAACCAAACTAAAAACAGACAATGGAGAAAATCTCTCTCTCTAAATGTGAAAAACATATTTGGAAATAAGCAAAAAAAAAAGAATTATAATTCAGAATGCACAATAAGGCAAGCCACAGATGCACCTTAACAAGGAAGGGTGAGGGAGGGCTGGGGCTGTAGCGCAGTAGTAGAGCACTTGCCTAGCCTCCTCCTTTTCCTCCCTTTCTGTCTTCTTCTTGCCTAGCATGTGGGAAGCACTGGGATTCAATCCTCAGCGAAGAAAAAGAGGGAGGAAGAGGAGGAGGAGGAGAAGGAGAAGGAGTAGATCATCAGTAAGAAGAAGAAGAAAGAAATGGAGAAAAAAAGGAGGAAGGGTAAGCAAAGTTTTTATTCACAAATAGGGAGAGAGTCACATAAACTGCTTGGATACACAGCTCATTGGTCATGGAGACTGAGGCAAGAGCTGGTGTCAGTTCATGGTTGGAGGTACATTAATAGCTAGATAGCTGTGTTCTTTCTAAAGCACCTTATCTGAATTGTTGCAGTCTCAAAGAATTTTAAGATAAAACTTTGTTGCATTAATCTGTGTATACACTTGAGGGGGTGTGCAGAACAAGAAGGATTTTACTGCTCTTCAAGGGCAATAACTTGTCTCAGTTATCGTTTTAAATTCATTACAGTTTCAGCATAGAGTAAGAATTCAATAAATGTTTGGGGAAAGAATCTGCCCCTTTAGTTCTATCCTCAGGCAGTCCAACAACCAAGTCTTATCTCCGACAAGCAGGTATGAGTTCTCCTTCATAACATCCTGGCTCTGGCTATTCCGGGTCAGGCAAGCACAATTTCATCTTGGAATAAGTAATGTCCGAGCTCTAATCCCTAATGTGGCTGTGTTTGCAAACAGGAACGTTAAAGAGGCAATTAAAATGAAATGAGTTCATAAGGATGTGGCCTAATCCCATATGACTAGAGTCCTTAAAAGAGGAAGAAGAGGCTGCAGGAATGCCCAGAGAAAGCGCCCTGTGAGCACACAAAGAGAAGACAGCCATCTGCAAGTCAAGGAGGACAGCCTTCAGAGTAACCAAGCCTGCCAACGCCTCCACCTTGGACCAACAGCTTTCAGAGTTGAGAAAATAAATTTCCATTGTTTAAACCACTCAGTCTGTCCTACTGCGTTGTGGCATCCCTACAAGATTAATTATGCTACAGGGTTTGGGGATAACTTGTCACATAATAATAGGTAATATACTTTCCCATTCCATCCCCCAACAAACACACACTTTCCATCTCTCTTCACCTCCCAAACTATCTCAACAGCTTAGCCCCAAAGTATCTAAATGGAAACTTGAACAAAACTTCTCAGAACCAACTTAGTGTTCTGAAGCTTGATTCCCTCACAGGTTATAGAAAGGACTGTGAAAAGTCTGTGGCAAACGAATCTTTCCATCAGTGACCTCTGAGTTTTAAGAGAAAGCAGTACAGGATGACAATTAAGCAGAGTGTGACCCTTTCTGACTTTAGACTGTGACCATGTGACCATGACCAAGACCATAAGAGGAAGATGAAATGAATAGAAACTTTTGTTTCTCATCCAACTGAGAACTTCACAAAACATAATCACTGCCTTCTCTGCTTTCCTTAGCTGCCTGCATCCACCTCTGATGCAGACCTTGTATTGTAGGACATTGTGACCCCTCTTGCTCTTCAAGAGCAGTGACTTGTCTCGGTTATCGTCTTAAATTCATGACAGTTTCAGCACAGAGTAAGGATCCGATCAATGTTTGGAGAAAAGATCTGCCCCTTTAGTTCCATCCTCCGGCGGTCCTAAAACCAAGTCTTTAAAGAGGCAGCACCGAGCTGAGAGCCTTGCTCATTAATCTAGTTCCCTTAAGAGAACTCCTCCGTTGCTCCTGACAAAGCCAAAGTCTGGCCTCCCTGACAATCAATTCTACCTTCAACCTGCAGCGTTGATTGACTGGTAAGCTCTTCACCACTTAACCCTTGCCACTTCCTTTCCCACCACCAAGGCTGTGTTCTGCCTTGTATTTTCTAACCATAGCATAGCCCCCAGGCATCCCATTATCTGCTCTCACAGGCCACTTCTCCCTAGCTGGCCTGAATCATCCCCCAGATTATAATCAAATCAGTGGCCCCCACCACCTCATCTATCTGACTCCAGGACAGATTGAATAGACAATAATTCACAAGCTGTTTAAAGGTTGAAAAACCTGCATTTATGATTTGATGACTTTGAATCTTTTTCTTTGGGTTCTCTGAAGACCTGGAGTGTATGGGGAGGCAACTATGCTCTTTCAGCTGCCTCTCCAATGCTGAAAGGTCAGGCTGCAACAAAGTGACCCTCTGTTAGAGTGGAGAAAACCTCCAAAGCCTCCCCCACCAACACTAGCAGGCGGTATAAAGAGACCTCATGTGTAATCTCTGACCTCAGCTATGGTCATCAAGTACATAAAGGTATTCCTGAAATTTAATTAAACTTTATTTTCCACAAAGGCCTGCTTCCATCCTACTGCAATCATTTTGGAAATGTCAACACACCTCCTCTATCAAGTGTATTCCCCTTGAAGTTTGTTTACATTCTCCCCGCTCCCCCCAATATTATGAACCAAAGAAAAACTTCTGTTTATGTCAATAAACCAAGGGTTTCATGGAATCATCTCCTTGTTTCCGCCATATGCAACACCACTTTCAACCTAATTCTGACATAATGAAAAGTCAGGAGATTCAACAGGAGAGAGGACCGACTGTGACACTGAAGAGACATTCTGGGTGCTTCTTCAAAAATTCCTGTCAACAGGCCGCCCTCACTTTTACCACCTGAGCACGAGATCGTGGAGAAAGTGTTCCTGGAATTCATCTAGGTCGCCTTGGTCATTTGCCAGGATAGTGCAGATAGTTTTATTGGTATAAAAAAAATGAGAATTGCTCAGAGCAAGGGTCTGGACCAGTAAAATGCTGTCTGTGGCAGAGAAGACGCAGGGTACCCGCGCACCCACCAGAACGCAGCCGCAAGTGACCTCCAGGGCTCAGTTTAGAGATGTCGCGCTGCAATGAACCACGGCGACCACCAGATGGCACTCAAAGATCAGGATCGTGGCGAACCTCTGGGTCCCTCCAACCGCCCGTCAACTTCCGAGGGACAAGTCTGCACCAATCTGGACGCTGGGTTGGGGCAACTTCCAACCGCAAGAGAGTCCTGCAAGGTTTGAATGGGTTCAGACTAGGGTACGGGATCGCAAGGGCCTGGCGGCCAGGCCTCATCCCTGTCACGTCCTGCGCGCCAGGGACCCCAGGTGCCGCGTCCGGTGACCATAGGCCGTGACTGGGGGCGGGGGAGGGCGCGGCCGGCCGAGCCTTCTCGGACCTGGCACGCGGACTCTCCCTCTGCGGGTGGACTTTGCCCAACTTGTCACCTCCCCAGGCCTATTTAGACCCAGAGACCGAACACGGCCCTCAGCCAGGGAGGAGTTTCTGTCTCTGTCGTGTCCTCTGGTCACCGTGTTCGGGGACAAACAACGTCACGTTGCCAAAGTGGGGAATTAGGAGGCAGCACCCGGCGCGCTGTTTCGTTTTTTCTAGTCCTGAGCCACTGACGAAGGAAGGAGCTGGGTGCTTGGCCATCGGAGGCATGAATTACGCACGGTTCATAACCGCCAGGAGCGCAGTCCGAAAGACTTCTCCCATCAGAGCCACCGGTGAGAAACGGGGTAATGCCCCTGGTGCCGGGGTGGAGCTGAGAACGCTGCTCTTCCAGCTCAGGGTTTGGTGGCAACCTTTTATTCCACTGCTAAGGCTCACTGTGAGCCAGGCTCTGCACGCAGAGATAAAGTAGGCATTAGCCCTTGTATTCAAAGAAGCCCTGCTAGAGTGGAGGAGGAACAGCCCCAGAGGAGGTCAGGCTGCCTCCTGTGGGAGGGATCCTTGGAAGAGAGGCTGGCCACATAGAATCTTCCTGGAAAGATGTGGAGGCATATACACAGTGCAGATTTGTGTGGAATTGGAAGGGACTGGACAATAGGAGAGACAGGCTGAGCCCCAAAACTCACGGGAAGGCAAGGGTTAAGCGAAAGAGGGTCTTCTGTGACACTTTGCTTATTCCTGATCCCTCTGCCTTCTGTTTGATCATCTCCATTCTTCAGGACACACACACACACACACACACACACACACACACACACACACACACACACACCGCCAACAAGGAAGCCCAGAAAAAGTTATTCTGTATTTACTTTAGACTGACATTCTCTCTTAATCCATTTGGGCTACTACATCAAAATATCACCAACTTTATCTTTCACAGATCTGGAGGCTGGGAAGTGCAACATCCAGGTGCCAGCTGACACCATGTCAAATGAGGACCATTCTTTATTGATGGTACCTTGTTGCTGGGTCCTCACGTGGTGAAAGGGGTTAGTTTGTATCCTCCATGGCAGAAGGAGGCAGGGGCCCTTCCTCCCCATCTCTTTTTTAAGGACTCTGATCCCAATCATGAAGGCTCTGCCTAAAGACCCCCACCTCCTAATACTACTACATTGGGTATTGGGTTTCAACATACCAATGGAGAGGGGGTGGACACCAACATTCACCCACAGCACATTTTATCACCAGAAATTGTTACACTTTGGAGTTGACTATAATGCACACTAAGTTGTCTCTGTTGATAACGATCTTTCTTCTCCTTCCATGTTTATCCTAGCTGATATTGTGAGCAAGGCACCAAAATCACTCATCTCCCTGGCTGCTGGAACTCCAAATGCAAAAATGTTCCCCTTTAAGAGTGCTGTTATCACTGTAGAAAATGGAAATTCCATCAAGTTTGGAGAAGAGGTGATGAAGGAAGCACTTCAGTATTCTACAACTTCTGGGTAGGTCATCATAGATAACATCATTTTATGGTTGCTCATCTTCATATCCTGCTCATAAAGTGACATTGCTTTTTAATGAGGTGTTCCATGATTAGGGAGGTTCAGGGAAGAATTTTCAAGTGCTAATTAAAAACAAAAGGGATATTAAATATTTACTTAACATTACTCAGTCACTACATTTCAAACTTAAATGGCTGGGAAAGCCAGGGAAGCTTCTAGAAGGAAGTATGAGTCGAGCTGAGTATGACAACTGAAAAGATGGCTAAGTGGAAAAGCATATTGGGAGAAAGGAAGAAATGGATAATGCAAGAAGCAGCAATCTTGAATAAGGGCCCCATTTAAACAGGTAACTATGCAAATACATTGCTTTTAAAGGTTCAAATATCTCTAACTTCTTAAAGGCAAGCTGAAATATGTACCTTAAGACTTTTGCTACCTGGTCTTCTTCCAAGGATAAAAGACAGTTAATGAAATCTATAAATGGGACTTTATTAGAACCTTCTTTATTTTGCAACTGAAGAATATATTGAAATATAATGTGCATGAATTACATGGAACTTATACCTAAGCTTTTCTTTCCATGATACAAATAATTTACTGAGCCTGAACTTCCAAGACGTCTTCAGAAAGCTTCCTAAAGAGAACAAGGAATCTATTATGCAGTGTATGCTCTAGCTAAAAGAAAGACCTTATGCTTTCAAATTGGAAAGGTGTACATTCAAATCTCAGCTCATTGATTAAATGATTGACTTTATGTGAATTTCTGATTCATTGACAGTATGTGAATTTTCTAATCTCTAAATCTATTACCTCATCTTTTACATGGGAATATTGACACTAGCATTTTAGGATTTTTAAGTTGAATGTATAATGGGCTTGGTATAAAGATACCTTTTATTTTCTGTCTGCTGTTATTATGATTAGTACTACTATAACTTCACTACTACCAATTTACAAATACATTTTATACTTTAGACTTCCGAAACTTGTGTCCTGGCTAAAACAGTTGCAAATAAAATTGCATAATCCTCCCACCATTCATTATCCACCCAGTCAAGGACAAATGGATTTATGTGTCACATCTGGCTCCCAAGATGGTCTTTGTAAGGTAAGACTGCAAGGAAAAGATAGCCATCATGCAAGAATCAAATATGCCTAAATATAGCGATCTCGCCCTCAACCACAAGAGGCTCATGTTTTGTAGATTACTGGTAGTCTTTCTTATCTTCACCTAGAATATAAACGGAAAACTCAAAGACAAAGCCCAGGGACAGAAGTGTATATATGGGATGGCTCCAATAAACAAAAGCCAGATAGTAATTCTTTAAGTTAATCTATCAATATTTCCCTCTTCTTTCCCTTATTGTAAGTTTCCCTTATTGTGACTTTCAAAAATTATCTGCTCTTAATATCACTTGTCAGTCTGTATTTCTCTGAAATACACAGCATGTGACCAATGGCCTGGAGCTATGAATCATTAAACAGAGATTCCCCACCAAAAGAGTACTCAACTCCTACCAAAAGCCAAAAAAAAGCTCAGGAGCATTGCCTCATTTTATCTGGCTCAAAGATTTGGGTTACATTTTATTTTTTACCTGTATATATGAAATTCTGATAGAATTTCAAACTTCCCTAGAGGGCACATCCTCATACCTCTGAAATGAAAATGGTACTCCTTTGGTGCCTATTTATGGAATCCCCAGGCTCAACACTGCTTGCATTTTATCTGCCTTGTGGCTGTACTTCTCTAGATCTTATACAGACACTCCTTGACTTACAACTGGGCTCCATCTTGATAAACCCATTGTAAATTGAAAATCTGGGAAAGTCAGACGTACATTTACAACACTTGCTGAATCTCATAACTTGGTAACACAGCTGCTGGCCCTCACAATGGCCTGACTGACTGGGAGTTGCCACTGTCAACATCCTGTGAGAAAGCAATATGCCACATCACCAGCTCAGGAAAAGATCCCTATCAAAATTCTACTCAGTGCATGTTACTTTCACACCATTATAAAGTGGAAAAAATCATAAGTCAAATCATTCTAAGTCAGGGACCAGCTATACATGTCTGTCTCTATCTTCTCTCATCCCTTCCATCCCCCTGCCTCTCTCTTTCTCTCTACCTCTGTCATCTATTCCATCTGCCTCCTTACTGGGTTCTTAGAACTCCACAGTTGGAATCACCACTGGTAGATCTCACAATAAAAAGACCCATGTTTGATCAGTTTCATCTATTTGAGTTTTTTTTTTCCTTTTCTTTTTCATGAATAATCAGTCCTGAATACAGATTCTGTATATTCAGTCTTCACATCTAAATTAAAATATGACTCTTATTTATCGTTATTTATATTAAACCAGAATAGCTATTTTTCTTCTTTATTTTGTGAAAACTGTAATCTGGTTAGCTTTAGTGAATTTTAATTGAATTATTATTAGAGAATAATGGATTGTAGTAATAATACCTTTTAAAGATTTTTAGAAGTTAAAACAATTTTTCCTTCCTCTTTTTTGTATTTAATTATAAAAAAAAGTAAAAGGATTGGCTACTGGTAGAGCTTTTGCATGAGGACGAGCATTTGTGATTCTCTGATTTCATATTTAAATCTCTTTCAATACAATTATTTTAGCAAGTAGATGACGAGCTTTTTTCTACAGAAAGATGTTCAAGACAGTTTCTTCTCCACCTGTCACAACACCAGTCACGTAAAAGAAGGAAGATAGCACAAATGGCCTAATAAATAAATAGTTGATTATTTGTGTACATGCTTATTACAGGGGCCTTAGTAGGGATCTGGTTTAATGTTTCTTCCACTTTGTTATCCAGGAAGGATGTTGTTGTTTTGGGCTACTGTGTTTCTGTCTGCATCTATTAAACAGTGCTGTCAGATGAGAAACAGCCTTCCCTTTTAATTGAGGATATTTGACTTTTGTATGTCCCCTAATTGAAATGGAAAAATGGACATAATTAGGTTTTTGTTTGGTCTTTTAGTAATGCACAAGTCACATAAGTGATTTTTTTGGCCCTAGGATGTTCTGTAAAGTTTGAGTCAATTGGAACTTTTCAGAAGAACATGTTTGTCTTAAGATATTAAAAGCCCCATAAGAAAAAAAATGAGTTGAACATCACAGGCCAAAATGGAGAACAAAAGTCAAATCTCCTGTCTCTATTGGAAATGGTCCTATTTTTGGTTCTGAGATGTAGGTTGCTAAAAATGATAGGAAGAAGGGCTTGAGGACAGGATTGTGAAATATCACTAGGTAAGAAGTCATTATTATGACCCCTTTGATATAGGCTGGAACAACCCATCGCCTGAGACCAATGATGTCAGTGGTCAAAAACTCTAAGACTTGTCAAACCTAGTCATAATTGACCTCTAAATAGCCTCTAACACTATCAACCAGCCAACCTTCTTAAATTCCTCTCCACTGGGTCTCCCAACCTTGTAGCATGGTTCTCCAGCTCCCCTGTGCCACATCTTTGCAGGGTCCTCCTGTGCTTACCCATCATTACTTTATGGAGTTCAGCCTCAGTCCTGGCAGATCATCTCCTCAGCTGTGCACTTTGCTGGATTCCTGCGTTCACCACCATCTGATCCACCATATGCCAGTAACAATCCAAACTCTTTCCAAGTTCGTATGTCCATCGTCCACCAGACTAAAAGACCAAACCAAAAGAGCTCCTCATCCTCTTCCTCAGATATGGATGAGGTTTGGGTTTTGGATTTCAGTGAGGAGCACCATCTCCACCATCTATCTAGTTTGATAATCAGAATTCTAGGAATCGTTTTTTGACAACTCTTTTTCCTCACTGCCCTGTGGACCATAATCATGCCCTGTTGGCTTTCATTTCCTAAAGAGCTCTTAGTTCTTCTCTACAGTTCCACCTCTCTACTTCAGACTACCCCATCTATCCCCAGGACTGCAGCAGTAACTTCCCTAATCACCCTAAAAACTTCCCAAACTTTTTCCCGTATGCTCTCGCTCTTCTTTTATCCTTTCATATTACAGCCAGAAGGCCCATTCCTTAATGATTGTGAGCTTTCCTCCCCACTCCTTCCTTAAAATTCTTACTCACCTCCCTTTACCTGATTGCCTGCGTGGTGTGGTGTCTGCCCAGTTCTCCTAGCCTCTCTCTACCTCCTTCTGGATACTCAATCTCACTTCCCAGAATTCTTTCAGTTTCTCAAAATGTATGTATTGTCACCTTGACACCAACTTATCAATTCCTCAGGGAAGCCTTATCTGAGTTCCCTAAATGCCCAAGCCCTGCAATTGTGCATCTGTACCTAATAGCAAGCACCACTGTTTTTGATCACATATAGATTTGCATAGTGTCTAACTTTCCAGAGGACTGGTAACTCTGTGAGAGTTAGAACCTTGTCCTTTTGCTCAGCATTTAATCTGCAGAACCTTACACTGGCCTGACTACTAGTAGGTATTTAACACATTTCAAAGAAGCAATAAAGGGAAACAATGGATTTTAGGAGCCAAGCCAGTTATGTTCTTTTTCACCCTAGAATGTAAGTTGGCAAACTATGGCTTGAAAGCCAAACCCAGATTGGCATCTAAGTTTGTAAATACAGGTTTATCAGAACTTGGTCACCCATTTACTGGTTGGGTTTGTTGTTTTTTTTTTTTTTTCACTATTCAGGAAGATATGAGTGATTGCAACACAGACACTATGGTCAACAAAATAGTGACTATATGGATCTTTACAGAAAATTTGCCAACTCTAGAGTCCTCTGAACTTAAGCAACAAAGGGGGTTTTGAGCATGAAAATAATATTATCCAAGCTTACCTCTGCCTCTCTTGTTAGATATTTGAAATGCTTGTTGATCCTGGAGACAACATCCTCCTAAATGAACCTGCTTATTCAGCAACCATTCAAGCTGTGAGTACACATTTCTATATGACAGCATTTCTCTTACAGTAAATAGAAGAAAGCTTTGCTCCTTGAGAATTATCTGCCCACTGAAAACTAAAATAGCATCTTTCATCTATAAACAAGAGAATCTTAAATGATGTATGTGAAATAGGTTAAATGTATCCTCTGCTGCATACATTTCTTTATTAAAATCCAAATGTATAGGCACTAATGAGTGCGCAAATCACATCTTAATATTTTATTTGAAATGTGACTTAATTTATAAAAACTTGCTGTGTATTTACCATCTTTTGTTGCAGTATGCCTAAGTGTAACCATTTTGCATGTCAACTTAATATAACTTCAAACTAATATGGCATACTTAGGATTTCCCACTCTACTGTGAAATGAATGAGACTAGAATAGCCAGAATAAAAGTCTGATCCTCTACCTCACCACTGAGAATTAGGTTTCTTTGGTTCACTCTGCTTTCATATAGATATGTCCACAAACTGGAACAAGTACAGGAAAGTAGAGTCATAATGAATAGGGATTTGGAAACCACAGTGAATGGTTATAGGAACCACAGCAGTGAAGAGAAGGTCCCAGAGAAGACAGGAAATTGTTCTCAAATATGTAAGTTAGCCATGCGACAGAAGAATTAGATGTATTTGTCCATGTTCTCAGGTGGGCAGAACTGAAAGGTGGAAACTACAGGGAAATGATTTCAACTCAGAATAAGAAATTTTCAGTTATTGGTCTTACCTGACTGCCTAAGTAAGTTACACATTTCCCATCATTGCAGGTGTTCAAAGTTACCTGTTTAATCAAAAAAAAATGCCAAATGTTTTCTCTGATATAAGGAGGCTGATTCATAGTGGGGTAGGGAGGGGGAGCATGGGAGGAATAGACGAACTCTAGATAGGGCAGAGGGGTTGGAGGGGAAAGGAGGGGGCACGGGGTTAGAAATGATGGTGGAATGTGATGGTCATCATTATCCAGAGTACATGTATGAAGACACGAATTGGTGTGAATATACTTTATATACAACCAGAGATATGAAAAATTGTGCTCTATATGTGCAATAAGAATTGTAATGCATTCTGCTGTCATACATAAATCTTTAAAAAATTTTAAAAAGAACCACTTCAAATTCTGCCTTCTAAAACAATTCCTTCAGAAAAGGCTATGTGAGACTGTATGCTGAAAGACCCCTGTATCTCATTGGCTTGCAGCTATAAAAGTTTGTTTCCCTCACACTACAGATTCACAAGACTGCTGCCATTCTCTCCTATGTCACCTTCATGCCAAGCCTCAAGTTGACAGAAGCAGCTTGTATCTCAAACACCACCAATCTTAAAGAAGAAGGAAAGCAGACGTAGATGCTAGGGTTTATAAAACTTCTGTTTGGAGGGAACACCCCTCACCCCTGCTCAAAAGATATTTTCCAGAGCAAGGCACATGGCCAAGTCAAACCTAAATGGGGCAAGGAAGTATAATGCTTCCCCTGCAAACAGACAGGAGGTAGAGTGGGACAATAACAGAATCTACCCCAGAGGAACAATAGAATTACAGTACGTAACCTCAGCCCTCCAGAGCTTGGAGCTGAGTACAGGTTCATATCTTCAAGGGTGTAAGTAAAATGCTCTTGGTCCATACTAAAAAAAAAAATAAAATAAAATAAAATAGTGGCACTTCCATCTCGTGTTCTTGTCTGACTCTTGGACTTTCTTTGTGCTATACAGCTGCTACCACTGGGCTGCAACATTATTAATGTTCCCAGCGATAAATATGGGATTATTCCAGACTCCCTCACAGAAATACTTTGCAAATGGAAACCAGAAGATTCAAAGGACCCCAAGAAAAAGACCCCCAAATTTCTATACACTGTCCCAAATGGCAACAACCCAACTGGAAATTCATTGAGAGGTGACCGAAAAAAGAAAATCTATGAGGTATTTTTGAAAAATGGGTTAGGTGGTTATGCTTTTTTATTTTGATATTTTTGGAAGAGTGATGTCAAGTTCCCTTCCTTGTTACCCTCTTGCTTATGAGGAAGATAATTTTTAATAAAAGTAGCTTACTGATGCTGAGAATTCTAGTAAATTTAGACACAAGAAATCACTATGTCCTTCGTTGATGAAATTTTTCTTTTCCCTTAATTGATGTTTCATATGACAGAAATAACATTCTTGGCCTGATGTTAAACTTTGAGATTTCTTTTTCTTTAATATTTGGCCCACATTTGATTTTCATTATTTCAAATTTGGGTTTTTTAACTTGTCTCTTCTGCTTCCTATTTTTTATCATTCGGGTAACAAAGATTTCTTCAAAAATAAGAGACATGCTCCTTGTTTTTTCTTTTTTTAGTAAAATCTCTTTTAGTATCTATGATGCCTAGATTTTCACCCTAAACATTTTTTAAAGTATCCAACATTTATTGAACTATACAGAAATCTTTGAAAAATAAGAGAAGTTTTTAAAATCTCTCTTTTCTATATCTGTGTTCCCTAAGCTTTCCCTATAAATAACTTTTTAAAAAAATAAGTACCAAAATTGTATTAAACTATATAGAATTTAATCATTTTCAGTGGAATCGTAAGACAGATACTAATCAGTTCCTTTTACTCAGAAAATATAGTTTCAAAACATTTTCTTGTTATTATTTGTACTCTCCTATGCTCTCTCCTGGGTTCTCTGCTCATTTCCCTAAACCCCCAAGAAAGCTTTATCTGATTCCACGATTATACATTCCATTCCACATATGACTCCCACATTGCTCAGCTCTACCTTTCTCCTGAACTCCAGACTTCTGTCCTTAATTTTCTACCTGTATCTCCACATAGATGTCTAATAGAATTTCAAACTTAACAGGGCCAAACTGGGGCTCCTGTTTTCCCCAGTTCTACCCCAAACCTCTAATCCACAACCACTCCAGGTACTCCATCCCCATAAATAGTATGTCCACAAAGAGTTAGTTAGCGTACATCCCTCTCTTTTCCCTCTCTCCACCCAACCCGCACATCCAGTCCATCCTGTGAACTTAACCCCCATGTTCATTCAAAATCCATCCATTTTTCTACACTACCATTCCTAGACCCATCTCCTAAGCTACACCTGCTGTCACCAGACTAGTATAAGGACACTGCTGCATTTCACTCTCGATCTTTGACCAATGGGCCATTCTTTGCAGGGCAGGAGCCTGGTAAATGTGAAGCCAGTCTCAAGTTCCAGTCCCGGGTGTCTTTCTCTTGCAGTTAAAGTCCAAATTCCTGTGTTCACCTTGCAAAGCCAAATGACATGGTCAGTTCTGTTCTTGGGCCTTTTCTCTGACCTTCTTTGCCAAGCCTACTTGCTACAGTCACTCTGGCCTTCTTTCTAAACATGCCAGACTTTCTGCTTACACCAGGATCTTTGCTCTCATGCATCCCTCAGTCTAGAATCTTTCCCCTGTTGTTTGTACAACTTATTCCCATCATTCTGAGCTCCAGTGTTACCCTGCAGGAAGGGCTTCCCAAGGATTCAACCTAATAACTACCTCTCTCTCAAACTTGATCATATTGAATGTTCCTAGAATTTAACCTCTGCTCGCATCTAATGATTATTCTGCTCATTGCCCACTGGCTTATGCATCTTTTTCCCACTAGACATTGATTTCTGGAGAAAAGGAGTCTTTAGTTCTTCATTCATCTCTATCCTCACTGCCTGGTATGGCAGACCCTCAGCCACTTCTCAAATGAATAGACAAATGAGTACCAAAAAAATTACAATTCCAAATGATTTTAATTTTAGATAGTTCCTAAGAAGTAAATATATTACTTTAACCTTTTAGCTTGCAAGAAAATATGATTTCCTCATAATAGAAGATGATCCTTACTATTTTCTCCAGTTTAACAAGGTAAGTGATGATGTCAACTAATTTCATCTGTAGAAGACACATAGTTGTAAGTTATTGTGCAGCATTTGAGGTCAGTCTGGCTGCTCAGTTAGAACTGTCTACTTTTGCACTGAAATTAGTGCATTATTACTAACTTGCTACCAACTTTAATTTTTTAGTCTTCCAGTTTTATCTCAGGATTAGCACTTTTCATTTTTTTCTATTACTACTCTTTCTAGAAATTGTTTACCTTTAAAATAGTAGCTGGCTCTCTGTACCATGCATTTAAGTGAACAGAGTAAGTCAGGCTGCTTGTCTTGAACTTGAAATTCTGTTCTATCTAGCTCCTTAAGCATTCCACCTTGGGTGTTGACCTCCATATGATGGTAGGGCTAAGAAGGTCGGGGAAGCCATGTTCAAGCTGAAGAATTAGACATGTGATCAGTTAGTGCTCTCCATTCTGCACACAGAGGGAGGCCTCAGGCAACAGGCCACTTAGTTGCCATTTCTGTCATTTATGCTCTGAACAATATCTGCAGAATAATGGGCTTTTAGATTCCTTTTCACTGTACACAGATGTGCTTTTCACAATTACTATTTTCTAATGAACAGTGGTAGTGGGAGACTACCCAATGCCTGATTCCTCAAATCTGATATTTTACTTGCTCTCAGGGTTGCAGAGAACATGTGCTTGGATTCAGTGCTCCCTTTAAATCCACTGAGAAAAAAAAAACAAAAAACAGAAATTCTCTGTGATTTGCCAGAACATTATTTTGCCTACCTGCCCTCCTACCTCAGCATGACCATGAACTCCTTTCTTTGTACCTAGGTTTGAAGTAAATTTTGAAGTCATTATTTCATATTGACTATGTTTTTCAACTTTATTCTCCCCTCTTTGTCCCCCTTCATCTTTCTAGTTGGTTCTAAGGATCAACATTCTCTCAACAATCCTGAATGCTTCTGGTTCTCTTCATTTTGATCTTGTTCAAACAAATTTTTCTTGAATCCTTCCTCTAAATCTGTTAATCCAGATTTTATCTCCTGGAACAAAGAAGGCCTATTTGAGAAACCTCTAAATTCGTAGCCATGGCATCTGGGCAAAGACAGAAGCATTTCTGAATGTATTTGGAATAAAAGCCTTGAAGACAGGCAGATGCTAGTAAAAGAACGTGCACATGTTACTTTCTCCATGGTAAAGGGTTGAGTCAAAGATAAGAGTAGTGCTATCAGGTTTCAAATCCATCTCTTCTCTGCTCTGTACAAATAACCCTGCAGTTTGAGTTTATAAATTAACAGTAATTTTCTTCTCCTTTGAAGCCCTGGGAACCAACATTTCTTTCCATGGATGTTGATGGGCGTGTCATCAGAGCTGACAGCTTCTCAAAAGTCCTGTCCTCTGGGTAAGTCCTGTGTCTCTAACCTGAGATTGGCCTCAGTATCGTTTAGTCCAAACAATTCTTCTCATTTAAGATACTTGTATTCCACTTGCCTGATAAACACCAGTCTCTTTGTGAATATGAATATAGGCCTTTTTTTCTCTTTATTCATCTCCAGTAGTCAAAGATGCTTGGCCATGAATCTAAAGTTATAGAGAGACTAGAAAGAGGAGATTCAGAAATACTTGGCTAGACTTGCATGATTTTATACATGTACACTTTAATTTAAATTTGTATTTGAAAAAATAAGAACTTAGTTTTATTAGAATGTTCTAATTGTCTAGATCCATCTGAGCCCAGACCACTGCTCTCTTCCTCATGAAATCAGCAAGGTGATGTGTACTAATTGTTAATACGGGATTGACATGGAGCCTTTTCTGTTTTTGTATAGGTTGAGGGTAGGGTTCCTAACTGGCCCAAAACCCCTGATAGAAAGAATTCTTTTACACATTCAAGTTTCATCCCTACACCCCTGTACTTTCTCACAGGTAAGTACCATTTAGGAAACAGGAGTTCTAAAAAATCAGATAAGAATAAAGTAGATGTTGGCAAATGAGATTAAGCTACAGTGACAGGGAAGAAAAATCACCACTGCTAAATCTGGTTCTAAATACAGACTGAATTAGAAGATCAGATACCAGGCGAATGAAAACTGAATGACCCTGGTGTTGCTGAGCAGCAAAAACCCAAACGTCTTGAGAATCAGGGCATCATATTAATCTTGTACCCTCAGGGGACTCTAAAAAAGCCTGTGAAACAGAACAAAATGGAACTGAATTTTTGAAGTAATGTTGACTTTAGCTTTATTGTCTTGGAACCTGCCGTGGGAGCACGAAATTCAAACCTCTTACATCTGAGTTACTAAGTAACTCAGATGGCCTTCATTGCACAGATGCCCTCTCCTGCAGACACTAGCCGGAATGCATTTTAATGAAAAGAAGGTCAACTTAACTTGGGAGAAAGTATAAATTTTCCCACAAGCTCTGAGAAATTATTATATTTGAAAATTATTGCAATCTTTAAAATCAGATTTTAAGGATAGAATTACTATGTAACAGCTCAAAATGTATCTGAAAGTTTGTATTTTATGGGACACTTGTTTGGTCTTATAAATTCCATAAAGTGTGGATGTCCCCATATTTTAATGGGTCAGAGACTTTTCCCATGTTATTTATACCTGCTATCATCAATGAGTCAATATTAGTTTATAACATTTAGAACTTCCACTTTAAATAGAAAAATCTCTAAATATTATAGAACTTACATATCTACTGTGTGTGTGTGTGTGTGTATTTTAGTTGGAAATGCAGCTCAGTGACAAAACATTTGCTTAGCAGGTGCAAGGCCCTGGGTTTGCCACTGAAAAGGAGGGTGGCGGGCTGGGGATGTGGCTCAGGCAGTAGCTTGCCTGGCATGCGTGCGGCCCCGGTTCGATCCTCAGCACCACATACCAACAAAGATGTTGTGTCCGCCGAGAACTAAAAAATAAATATTAAAAATTCTCTCTCTCTTTAAAAAAAAAAAAGGAGGGTGGGGGGAGAAAAGGCAATAGACTGGTAAGCAATGGCTTGGATCTGGCGTTGGACAGTCTGTCCTTGAATATGAGTTCTCTGACTACTTCATCAGAAAAATTAGCCCTAATGCCTCAGTTTTTCTTATTGGTAAAATAAAAAGAATCTGCCTAATAATGACCTTGTTACAAAGATTAAGTTAGCCAAAAATCTATCGATATGTTACAACAGTGCCCAGCATATGACAAGACTATATAAATATTTTTCATTTTGACTAATGTGGTAGTCATGTGATTAATTATTGTTTATTATAAATCACTGATTGGTGTAAGTCAGCCAATATGCATACACATGTAATCAGGAGTGATTTACTTGTACATCTGACAAAACCAAACACTTTCAGGGAGTGAGCCGTGACATTTGTTACCGTTCTGTCTCTTTTAGTTCATGGTGTTGGAGCTTCTGCAGCAGTGGGGAGAAGAGGGATTCCTGGCTCATGTACAGAGGTATCAAATCATTTGTTAAGATGTTTATAAGATGTTAAGATCCCAGTGGACAAGGTATGGAGCAGCCAGTACTGATTCCCTCTTCTTCTTCCTTAAGTATCCTGAGATAGACAATAAGACAGTCTCCCAGAAGTCACAGCCTCTTCATCTTAGTGGCTCTTCTCTAGAGAGACTCAGGAGCATCCCAGGTACGGTCTGAAAGCCAGGGCCACCCATGTCCACGACAATCTGAAATTCACACTAAGTTATATCCTCAATTTAGAGGATAAACTACTCATACATACAAATATTTTATTTAATAATCAATTTACTATGAGAGACACATGACACAGGAACTGATGCAAATACAGAGGAGTGCAGATGAATCTCTGGTATACTTTTGATCTTGAGCACTCTCCTAGCCTCCCAATGACCATTTGAGATACCTAAACACAAGGACCAGTCCTGCTATTTCTACATTCCCTGTTTTACATAGAAATAACCTTTTTGGCTTTATTAATTTTCATTGTTCTAATCAGCCCATAATAAAGGGAAAAACATCACCAGATAGGTCATGCAAATACATTCCGGTCCCTTATCAAGAATGTAGTCAAGATAGAAAAAAAATTCTTACAGCCTGCTCTCCAGAGCCTTTTTTGTGTTTCTGCAACCAATGGACTGAACACACCCTTGCTATTGATTTCTTCTTCCAGGGTCACTGATTTCTACAGGAGCCAGAGGGATGCAGTATTGGCCGCTGCAGACAAGTGGCTAAGTGGTGAGTGGAACATGTGTCTGCCCTTTGGATAAACAGCAGCACCCATGTGAGTGGATGATAAACACTGTGAATGAACAATCTGGTGGGAAAGAGTCAACAGTCTGGCAGTGTTCTTATCAAGGAAATGTTGCCTCAAATAATCTCACAAGTAGCATCCTATACCCACCACCCTGGCACAGTTCTCCCCATCCCTAATTGACTGTCTGCACTAAGAATTTTGGTTCAAAAAAATCAGTCTAAAAATCAACCAGCAATAATTTGCTTAAAGCTAAATAACATCCATCTTCAAAATATTACAGTTCTTTCAAAATTTTGTCCCAAACAAACAATATACTCTATTTCTAACTAAACTGTATCGACAAATAATAGTCTAAGGCAGATCTCTCATGACACAGATTTTGCCTTTTAATCCTTAGCCTCATTTATCTAATATTACCTATTGCTAATTTGTAAGAAGCTTAAGATTTACTTTTCATTGTGGAAGAAAGTTAGATAGATTACACAGCTTTAATTGTATCATTAAAAATGTCTTATCAAAAGCAGCCTTTGATAAGAACAGTAATAAACCAAAAATATCAGTTCCTTATTTCTGTCATATCTCATTCCCTATAAAGTCTTGATAAAAACAGAATTATTACCTGTTTGATAAGAGTACAATTTTCCAATTTTCATAGTAATATTGAATAAAAAGTTTTAACCAACAACAAATTGTTGTTGTTGTTTTCTTAAGATAGTGATTAAAAATCAAAATAATTATCCTTTCTTCTTGGTTTCCCTATCCTAACACTCAGGGAAACAGAAAGCTGGAATTTTAAGCCCTCCTTTTCATAATTAATTGCATTCTGATGAAAAAGAATTCATTGGACTTCTAAACTAAATAATGGGATTTATCGAAATACCAGAAGACTCCAGAAAGAGATGAAGAATCCTCTTTTAAAATGAAACAAACACATTTGCCCCAGGTGTGTCCTATTTACGCAAAGAGAGAGAGGCACCACTTCCCCGAGCTCCACAAAACCTAGCTGCAGCTTTACATGAGTACTCAGGAGCTATTCAGTCTCTCTCCCTACCTCTTATCCCTACACTGACTCTGAAATAGACCTAGAACATTAATTTTTCAAGGATCATAAAATTATATTTTCAAAAAAATGTTATTACTGGGCCTGGTGGCATCTATCTGTAATCCCAGTGGCCTGGGAGGCCAAGGCAGGAGGATTGCAAGTTCGAGGCCAGACTCAGCAATTTATTGAAGTCCTAAGCAACTTAGTGAGACTCTTGTCTCAAAATTAAAATAAAAAGGGCTGGCAATGAAGCTCAGTGATAAAGCATCCATGGGTCCAATTCAAAGTACAAAAACAACAAATAAAAAACCAATATTATCACTGAAGGCACTTTTTTTTGGAAGAACTAGTTGATAATCACTGCACATGTGTCATGGAACAATACATTTAATACCATCCGAAATGCCTTTGGAAGATGTTTATTCTCCTTTTGTTTGTAGGTTTGGCAGAATGGAATGTTCCCGTTGCCGGAATGTTCTTATGGATTAAAATTAAAGGCATTCCCGACACAGAACAACTGATTAAAGAAAAAGCCCTTAAGAAAGAGGTAAACCTGGGAGGTGGGTGGAAGGGAGGACCCGAAAGGAAAGCTGCTCTTTTTCTTTAAGGTAATCTTTTATTTGAATAAAAATGAAACAGAGATATATTTTGGTTGCCCACCATTCATAAGAAATGGTCTGATATTAGGTATTTTTCTCATTATTCAAATTGTAATAAATGTGGGCTTCTATAATTCCTCGGCTGGTCTAAGTCAACAGAGACACTATCGTTCATCTCAGTGGATGATTACTTTAGTGGCTCAGAACAACCTCTGGAGACACACTCCTTGGGTTTCAGTCCAGCTCCACCCCTTACTGGACACGAGGTGTGGGGGAAGTCACCCTCCTGTGCTTTCTCTCAGGGAGAGTCAGAATCCATCCCTCAAAGGAGTGGTTGCTATGATTAAATGAATTCTCTGTGTAAAGCACTTGGACTAATAAATACCTGGCACCTAGTAAGTTGTAGCCACTAGTATTTCCAATGGAGGGACTTTCTTTGTTGTTGTTGTTGTTGTTTTCCTGGATTATGAAAGTAAAGTGTGCTCACAGCAGGAAATGTGAAAAATGCATAAATTATAATGGAAATTTTAAAAACAGCCCATCATTTCACCACCCAGATTTTGTGACCACTTATGGTGATTTTCTTGGCAACCTTCGGCTGTGCGGTTATTTTGCATGGCTAAAATTACATGAAAAAGTTTGTATCCTGATTTTTTTCAATTAAAATTAGCTCATATGTCATTTTTTTTTCTCTCCTTGTATAATTAAATCTTCTGAGATTTCATTTGGGGGCATTGATTAGGCTATCAATCCTAAAGGAAACTTTTTTTCTGTATAGCTTTATAATTTACCAAATAAATTATATTTGGTAAATTATCCCTCTGCATTTATTAATTCCATTATCATGTTTGTCATTGAATCTTTGTAAACACAGAGGTCTGTTTCTAGAATGCCTTTTGTCTTGGATTTGTAAACATAAAAGGAGAGAGTGAATTGACTGGTGGATGACAGGGTGCCTAAGCTGGTGTGTAAGAGACTCTAGAGGTTAGATCTAGAGACAGACCACCTGAGCAAAGTCATTATCCTTTCTATCCATCTTATTTGAGGGTAGGACTCACACTTTACTCATTATTCTAATCCAAGTAGCGTCACATACTAGGTACTTAATATATATTTAATTAATTTATATCAAGCAAATACATTTCTCCATCTTTTTTTTAAATTGGTGCTTTGTAAGTAACATAAAGGTAGAATTCACTGTGCATAGCACAATTTGGTCAATTTCATTCCACTTCTTCTTCCTTTTAATCCTCTTTCTCTAATCCATTGATATCCCTTTTATTTTCATGATGTCCCTACTTTTTTCCTCCCTTATTTTGTTCTAGCGTCCACATATGAGTGAAAACATTCAACCTTTGGCCTTCTGTATCTGGCTTAATTCATTTACCATGACATTTTCCAGTTCCAATCATTTATTTGCAAGTGTCATGATTTTTTTTCTTCTTTATGGCTGAATAATACTGCACCGTGTGTATACACCACATTTTCTTTATCCATTTGTCTGTGGACAGCCCCTGGGCTTATTCCATAGCTTGGCTATTGTGGATCACGCTGCTGTAAACACTGATGTGTCTACACTATAGCATGCTGATTTTAGTTCTCAAATACATTTTAATATAATAAATCAACTTTATATTTTCTTTGCTTCTCTATCAATGCCATTATCATCAAGCACTTCGGTTAATGTCTCTGTGTTTGTATCTCTGAGCTAAGTGCTAAGAATGTGGACTTGATGTTTAACTTTGCTTGTTTTTTTTCTTCTTCTTCTTCATTTATTCTGTCTATTCTGCTGCCTACTCCTCAACATTTTCTAAACAATCTCCAATTTATCACTGCTGCCTTAGCCCAAAGTTTGGTCATTTTTTTACACTATTTTTGTTTGTTTGTTTGTTCTAATTAGTTACACATGACAGAGAAATGCATTTTGATTTACTGTACACAAATGGAGCACAAATTTTCATTTCTCTGGTTGGACACAATGTAGAGTCACACCATATGTGCAGTCATACATGTACCTAGGGTAATGATGGTCATCTCATTCTATCATTTTTCCTGCAAGTTTGGTCATCTTAAAAGAGATTATTACCACTCCTTCCTTCTCTTACATGTCCTTGCTTCTAGTCTATTCCAAAACTTTTCCACTTTATTGGGAGAAATGGTAGTTTTCATATTTTATTAATCAGTACCAAGAAACTCATCTTCTGCCTTGAAATCCTTTTCCAAGAGTACCCCCAAATTATTTCACTCCCAGCTCATCTTGTTTTACTGGACAGTACCCAATTTTACCATTTAAGAACAAACAGAACTTTGTTTTTGAAGGCCATAATTTCACTAGTTAACATTAATTGCTGTAAATTATAAACTCCAAAATCTCAAAGACTTAACACAATAGAAGTCTATTTTTTTTTCTTTTTCTTTTTTATTTCAGATTGAACCTGGGGTGCTTTACCACTGAGCTATATCCCCAGCCCTTTCTATTTTTTTATTTTGATACAGGGTCTCACTAAATTGCTTAGGGCCTCAATAAATTGTTGAGCCTGGCCTCAAACTTGTAATCCTCCTGCCTCAGCTTCCCAAGTTCCTGGGATTACAGGCATGTACTACCACACCCAGCAAAAGTCTGTTTCTGACTCACATAAAATTCAAAGCTGCAATCACAGGCAAATACAATCCAGCAGTGACTCAGAGAACCTGGTTCCTTCCATCTTGTTGTTTCCCAATCTTCATACGGATTCTAAGATTGCTGCAAAGTGGAAAGAGTGTGGGAGATCACACAGGGGAACATTTCAGGGCCCAGGACTAGAAGTAGGATTCATGACTTTGGTTTACCTCTTTGGTTATAATTCACCCATGTGACCACACACAACTAGAAAGAGGCTGGGGAATGGGAACATAACTTAGTGGCAAAGCAGGTACTTAGAATGCATGAGTGAGGTCCTGGGTTCAATTCCCACCAAAAGGAAGGAAGGAAGGAAGGAAGGAAGGAAGGAAGGAAGGAAGGAAGGAAGGA